TTGCCCAAGCGAGAGATTCGCACAAAAGAGCTTGGTAAAGTTATCGGAAAATTGCTAAGGTACGCTCGGAAAAATCAATATTTATATATATGTTTCTGATGTGAAACAGAAGAGCCCAAGTCTGAAGGGAAGCATTTGTAACGAATCTTTAGTGTTCTTCGTGGTTTCTCCTAAATTATTACTATTGTCTCTTCATTTCACCTTCTTGCAAGTGATAACAATCGCATTCACTAATTTGCTCTTGAAACCACTAACAATGTCTCAAGATCATGAGGAAGTCGAGTTCACTTTTTCTCATCCCACTGCACCGACAATCCCACGCAACAAAGCCGCGGGGAGAGAATCTTCCGCAATGGATGAAAAGATTGCATGCAACTGACACCTTCCAGTCCATCATTTATCATTTTTCCCACACGAGTGAATCTTGTATTGATTTCTTTTGGAGCGGCAGCGCTTATTATTAAAAAAAAATTATAAATTGTGAGGATGATGAAAAAGAGAGGCGACCCAACAATGAGGGGAGAGAAATCAAAAAAGGAATTCTGGAATTCTTTTTATTTGGCCCTCTTGCGCCTCAACATCAAATACATGTGGAGCTTTAAGATCATCGCGCTCCCAAAGATGGTTTAGTGATGTGGAAAAAGGAGAACAAAATAAAAATTCTAAGTGACACAGCATAAATTCCATCAAAAACCAATGGTCCAACACCATGTGAAGTCATTCATCAATCTCAAGCGGAGGTGAATTTCATCATCGCCTCAAAAATTCAGACGTAACTCTCCTCCACCATCTTTCTTTCACAAAAATTCTCAAGAATATTGTTCAGAACGCGCCACAAAGAGAGCCAGTGAAAAATAGGAAGAAAATTAGGCCGCCACACATCATAATTACAGCTCTCCTGTTCTTTCCCCTTCCACCGCGCGAGAGAAGAAAAGAAATGCTTCAATTGCACACGGCAGTGAATAGATCAAACAGAGAAATTCCCACAATGAAGCTTTTGTCGTAAACATGGAGGATTGAATTGCTAATAAAATAAATTGTCGTGAGGCCTTCCTTGTCTCTGTCCATTGCATGTTTGCACAAGTGACTCATTCATGTGTCCCAAAAACCACCTGCTCGTCAGGATTTATTCTCTTCAAATCAACAAAGATTCCATTCTCGTGTCCCGACAGGGGCACAAACGGCACGGGAGAGAACATAAAATAGGGATTCCATTGTCTTTCGCATCTGTTGCTTCTTCGAAATTAACCTGCGAAGGGCCCGAAGGTAAGTTAATAGGCACTTTTAGCTTCCTCCACTCCGGATTCTTGATGTAGAATCAATGCAATCACTCCTTAGTGCCAAATTTCCACACACTTGCAGCATCTGTGACTCCTTGGCCAGGTCAAGCAGGCGAAAAAGGCAATGAAATGAGAGCATGTTGGGCAAAGAAACACCTTAATAGAGTCATTGAATGAAATACCAACTCTCCACGAAGCGACGGCATAGAAAACATGAGCAAAAGAACTATTTAACATCGTTAGTTAAGGAGGAAATAAATTAGACTCAATTATCCACAATTCAATCAAATCTCCGTACCGCATTTCTTCTCCGAGGAGCTCTTTTTTCATCTTGTTCCAACTGTTGTTTCGCCATCGACCAAATTTGTGGGTTTGCACGCGGGTTGGCTTTTTTTGCCCACATGCCCAGCAAATCTTCCCGCCCAGGTGATTCCCATTGAGACATTTCACTCCATTTCTCACTCTCTCTCTATCCCCAATTGAGATCACACACGATTTAACTATGGGTATCACCGCATAGAAAAAAGAGCCAGCGATTTTTTCTCCTATCTCTCTCTCTTCCTATGGCTCTTGAGAAAAATCAAAGAACAAAGAACCCGTTTCGGATGCTCAATCAATCATAATCTTTTCATTGCTTTATTTTCACGCGCCTTAATGGTCAGCGCTGCGGCTTATCGAAATCTCCAGTGCTACTCTTATCGACACACCACATCGGAATTCCCTCAACAACACCCAAATTGAGATGCCGAGTGTATATTCAAATAAGATTCACCACTCATCATTGTGATCGGTTACTCGTGAAATTTCAATTCGATATTATAATCCACCATTCTATTAGTGTCAATTTGAATTTCAAGTCTGACGTACGACTGCTCACGAAAACGTCCGACAGGATTAAAAGACGTTCTTTATCCATTTCCTTACATCATTCCACATAACACTGCTCGTCGAAGTGTAAAATCTCCCGGAAAGTAAGATTTCCTCCACTGTCATGCACTTGATCCACAGTGCTTACAGAAATGATAGATAAATTAAGTGTCTTCCAAGTGCTTCCTTTCTCACCGAATCAAGAGAGACGCTGTGGACAATGCCGGGAGAGAGGAAAAAATACATAGTTCAGAGGAGGATGTTGGATTTTTTATCCAACACTCTCTCTCGCCCAGAGCCTTTCTGCAGCATGAGTAAATAATTACATTGGAGTTTAATTCTGTCACTACAAATTCCTCAAGAGCCCCACAGTCGAGCAATAGGAGATGAAAGGAAGTAAAGTGGTGTGGCATAAGAATTCACTTGGGATTAGGACTGTTTGGGATGAATGGGTCCGATCTCCCGTGGCGCTTTGTTGGCTCCTTTCGTGGTGTTTTCATGTCTTTTTGTCCCAGCCGTTTTTCTGTTCCGACATGCCATCGTGAGATGAGATGCTCATTGGGATTTATTGTCCATTAAATGGGAATTTCTTATTTATGACAATTTATTAATTAGACGACTAACAATTTTATTCTGACGTGAACGCCTTGTTGGATCCCGCTTTGGTCGCTCTTTCGCTCAACCTCATACGTCGCTGTGTCTGGATTTGCCATCAGGGTGGCCACACACTTTTTCCTCACCATCTTCCCTGGGTGGGATTCACAGACTCTGGAATGCTTGCGTGCACCTTGAAACTGCGCTCACTTGTGTTGGTTGCGTGTGTAAATGTGAGTCAAAATGCACAAACCATGAGCATTTAACCGCTTCTTCTTCCGCTCCCCCGGGAATTCAGGTGGAAATCGAAATTGCATTTCACATCATCCAAAGCTATTTATTACAACGACAAACACCCCGTAATGTTTTGACTAGAACAGCGCTTTGTTGGGAGGAAAATGTACACTCACGTGTTGTCTTTGTTAATTTGTGGTTTGAGGACAAAGACAATATATAATAATAAATTGAGCTCATCGAATCCATAATAGCGCACATCCGTTATAAATCGTAATAGATCTGAACGACACTTCTAAAACCGAAAAACCGCCAATTCGATTTAATATCCATTATGTTTATGATCTTTCTCTCTCTCTCAAGGCATTCCATAGCTGTTCTCCTCAACCCCAAGAAATACAACTTATATATCGTGCTGAATTCCCGCCACCCACAAGGCGAGGACTAGAGATTGAAAAACATACCTCGAGGCTGAAACATGATTTGGAATGTTGTTACAAATTCATCTGCTCTTTTGCCCTTTTTTTCCCTCCAACACCATCGGGCAAATGGTGAAGAAAAGGAGAAACAATAACAAGAAATCCATTGAGCCACACACAAAATACACCTTTGAACATCAATTATAACCATCCATCGAGAACAACTTTCTGTGATTTCTTATAAAATTCGTAGCAATTTGGATGAATTTTCGCTTCTTTTCCAAAATTCGACTCTGAGGCGCTACAGACTTCATCATTGACGGACTCAGAGCGGCACAAGCGAAGCTCAAGAAGAGTTGGTGAGTCAAGGTAAAAAAAAGGTGAGTCAGATGGTTAAGAATGAACGGCTGGAATGTACATAAGAAGATCCCATTCATTTCTCAAGGGTACGGGACGATTCTCTGGCATTTGTGCCTCACTTTTCTCCTCTCCCATCTTCTTCACATCTCTCTTGCATCCCCGGCATTTCTACACTCTTCAATATAATACCAATTGAAGTTTGTACGTGACTGTCTTAAGTGTTTTATATTATGAGCAGCGTGTACATAAAATGTGTGCTATAGTGTGTTGAGAACGATTTCGAAATCGCTTCTGATTCAATTTTCTTCTTTTTAACCATCCCCTCATGAGCTTTCGGCGCATATCACACACACACACATTCACCCCCAAAAAAATTACATTCCTTGGACTAATGTGTGGATTTATCTGTCTTAAAGATATTGAGATTTCTTCTCGCCTCCGCATGATGTACAGATATTTGAACATACAAATATTGCGGCCAAGAGATAATATTTAAATTGAGAAAACATTTCCCGATGGAATGGAAAATCTGAATATTTTCCTCATGGTATAACAAATATGAAATATTTCCATCTCCACCTCTAAGCATTTCCTCGCATTTTGCATTACGATTATGGCTGTTGTTGGAAAATAAATTTGCTACATTTCCCATTCTCAAGTCCACAAAATCTTCCTCCGGATGTTTGTGTTGCTATATTGCACAGCTGAGATTTAAAGTCATATAAATATGCTACAATGGCTAAAAAATATTCCATCCCAATTGAGATTAAGTGAAGATTATCCATTTCTTCCTAAAAACGGAAAGAATATCATTCTCTAATACAGTGCCAAGCATGGTAGTTATGCTCAATGCAGAGAAATTTCTTTAAAAATTCCTCTATTGTAAACACTTCTCTTGTACAGTTGTTACATCGCCTTGTCTGATGACGGAATAAGAATGATAAATTGTTATCTCTCAGACCATGTCACTTTCTCATTCTTATTTAAAGATCATCATGTAAGCTAAGAAGAACTCTCAGGGAATAATTAAAATTTATGACTTCATTCCCCATTCAGTCCCTCAAGATCACATTTTTGGGTCAAGTCAAATCGATTTCAACAAGTCCATAAAAATGTCCAAATCTCAGTCGTAATCTCGGGAGGAATTTCCAAGAATTTCATTGATGTTTCCTCTCAACCGAGCAAGGATGATATAAATTCTATCGGCTCTCCATTGACAACTATTCAACTATGGGAAGTGACTCACCTTCTTCTCCAGCTCCGGTCCATTCTGCATGGCATGCATGATGGCTTCTGAGAGTTTCACTTCCAGTGTCTTGATGACAGCCTCGATGCCCTCCCTCGTGCGCACCAGCCCGAGGAGGCGCTCCATGGACTCGGCGAAGCTGGTCCACGGGCTGTCCAGGCTGCCCACGTACTGTGTCAAGCAGCCTCTGCAAAGGTGGCACACGCAAAGATGGTGAGCGAGAGTCACTAATTGACCGCAGACAGTGTCAAAGACTCACCTCATTACATTGATGCAGTAACTGCTGCAGCTCTTCACGTGCCCCTTCGCGTAGCCGCGGCACACGGGGCAGTAGCTCATCTTGAGGAGGTGCATCTTGCACTTGTGCGTCAGATACTCAGAGTCCAATTCCTCGGTGCTGGCCAGCACATCAGCGCCGCGGTCCAGAGCGCGCACAAACACCGTGGCCGCACCCACGCTCTGCTGCAGACTCCTGGCCACGGTCTTCGGGATGTCGCCGAACGGTTGGATGTCGTCAAATGTGTGCATCAGGCAGTTCTTATAGTCAACATGGAAGTCACTGCTGTGCGTGTCACTCTCCGCGTGCAGCACATGGTGATATGCCACGGGAAAGAGGCTCACGAAGAAGTTCGTGACCACCTTCTCGATATCGAGATTGTCCGTGTAGGAATTCGGTGATATGTGACTGCAAAGACATTCACATTTCAGTTTTCCCGGAAAAATTATCGTCAATTAAGGCGCGAGACACCGCGTGAAAGACATTGAGAAGGGATGGATCAGAAAGTGACTCACCTTCGAATGCTCTGGTACAGGTCTGAAATTGGTTGTCGCGAAAAAGGTGACATCCGCCGGTAAACTTGGTTGAATAAATTCAGTGTCTTGTTCTCTGACTGAAGTGACAATTGAATTACGTTTTCTGCAAAGCAAAAAGAACACAAGACAGACATTAAAATAAGCATGTATCAACACTGAGGGAACAGGATGAAATTCTCCTTTGTTCATCGCCACTTTATCACAACAACATAACTAATTAGGTAAATTTCCCCGTAGAAGAAACTACGACTTTGTGTGTGTAAACTTTTGTGCAGAAGCAGCAAAATGATAAACGATAATTACAAAGATCATAGAGTTCAAAGGGCAAAATTCACTTCCACATTGTTGGCTTCCTTTTTCCAACCCTGCTCGAGTGCTTTCCAATAAAACTTTTTCAGATATTTCAACCTTCTGCTGAACACTTTTGCCAAGAAGCCAACAATAATCTCAGCTTTTGCTCTTTCTTTCGGACGAAAGGCAAAAAATTCCTCCTTAGGGAAAAATTTAATATTCAAGAATTCATAGATGATGGATATTGGAAACAACCCAAGCCAAGATGTGTATGTTCCAAGATTTCTGTCCCTTTGCCTTTTGCAGGAGAGAGAGAGAGATCCACTTATCCCTGCATATAATTTCCCTACATCATTTGGTATATTTTTGCAAAAGAAAAAAAATTCCCATGAGAACTTCAATAAATATTAGAAAGCCATTGAATTCCGAGAAATGTTGATACGAAACACTTCAATTGAACATGTTAAAAGCTTTTGAGTTAATAATGATGATGGAAGTGAAAAGGTTTTCCACAGCAAGTCACACGACATTTCCACAATCTGCCCTAACGAGCTAATTGTTCGACACGGTTCATTTCATATATGCGCTCTTGTAAGTATGGTAATATGACGGAATCACTAGAAGAAAGAAGGAGAATTCGTAATTATGTATAGGGTTTCGCTTGAAATTTCCCTCTTGAATTTTTGCATAATGCACACAAATGCCATAAACACGATTTTATTGCGATTCATTTTGCTGAATTAATACAACACTCGCAATCTTGAGACATTCATTCGCAAATGGCTCTCGAGAGTAATCGATCGATACGGTATTTTAGGGTGGTTCTACTTGGAATTTCAAGAACAAACTCACTTTACGCAATTGCATGAGGCAATTATGCAGTTCTCTGTTGCAAAATGTTTGTGGAAAAGAATTTATTTACATTGCATTAGTTCCCGAGGAGGTAATTTGATCGTTTCACCTTGAGAAATGGGATCTGTAAGAAATTCTTTCACTTCAGAAGATGCTTTATGTTCATTTGCCATGAGAATTGCATTCAGACTTCTCAATGAAATGTGCCATCAATATCGAGGTTCTTGGCGGATGGAAAAATGGCCTGACAAATCCACAATTTCCAATGCGTTGATATTCAACATTCCACACCCGATTGCCCCGTCTTTTGCCGATCTTTTTGCCATCCATTCTGGCTAAATACAGAAACATCCTTGATCTCTTTTCCCTCTATGCACATCTTTCGGTCAATTTAGGTCGTTTTTCCCTGCTGATGCACCTCTTGCAGGGCACACATTGCAGCGGATTGTGTGTATTAAATTCCATTTAGGGCCAGCATGAAATTCCCCGATTGTGTTTCACTGTGTTTGGCTGCATTCCCGACTTTCCTCGCCCCATGCACAGTCGCTCGGTCTGTGGCTGTAGTGCAAACACCATCAGAAGCCAAGAGACCACCAGCCAGTTATTAAAGCTCCTCGCCTTTGTGTGTACACACAAGAGCGGTAACGAGTTCAGGACAAGTTCCCAGTACTTGTTGCCATGGAAGACACCCGAGGTGAAAAACGAAGAAGTGGGTAAAGAGACGTCCGCTGGTCTCACAGCATCTTTTGTGTTTGACTGCGGAGCGCCATTCTCCAAAAGATGAGCCTCTCTTACCACACTTTTTCTTTCTTCTCTCTTCCTTCCCAGCCAAAAAACCCGGCCATAGGCCGCTTCTTTCTTCTCCTAATAAGGGTGAGAATTGATGTATTTCCTCCCAAAGCACGTTCATGTCATCATTTCGTCGATCTCGCAAGAAGCCACGCCATCAATAGACATCTCTAGCAATTGCTCTGCCCTGCGATTTCATCCACTTGATGAATGCTCAATTGAATACATTACACTTCTCACACGACTCAGTATTGCACCTTTCAAGCCTCTACCTGATGCTTTCTTGTCCTCCGCTCAACGCCCGTCACTGCATCTTCCTGATACGGGTCTCTTTCCTGTTAACACATGTCCGAAATCACCTCAGACATGATGCAAACATGTTCTAAGCCCAAAATGAGCATGTTGGTGATTAGTTTTTCTGCCTCTCTGTCTTCTCGTGTTCGCAACCACCAACAGCTCCAGTTTCAACTATCGATCCAACCTCTCTTTCACACAATTCGATTTAATGTGCCAAAACACGCCCACGCGAGGGCTTTTTTTCTTTCATCCTCCCAGCACAAAACTTTCCCAATTAACAGCGAAAAAGGTGACTCACTCAATTCACGCAATCCCAAGGAATTTTTCCGGGAATTCGTCCGTGGCTCTGTGCAAAGGATGGGCGCTCAAGAGAGTGTCTCTTTTTTATTTGACTAGACACGGAAAAAGTATCCTTTTTTTTTCAAGGAAACAACTTGAATGCTGAATTAATGAAATTTTAATTGAAATTCCCTCTTTTTCTGTGTATTTCTTGAGTAAACATCACTACTTTAGGCGGAGAAGAAATCATCCAACCAAGTTGAACCGCCCCTCTGAATGTTTGAATTGACAATAATATCAGAAATGCGTGGTTATATTTGCAGAATCGTCTACATTTCTCGAGACGTCTCGTGCTGTGTCCACAGTTTTCCTGCACCATCATTTCACAGAAGAGACGATGTGTAGGAAAATTACCGAGACTCTTGTGTGGATAGTCTTGATGATAGTTCAATAAATGCCACAAACTATTATTGCCACATTCAACGCCTTTTTTGCACGGCAGCAATCAACCAAAGAGACACTCTTGAAACCTTTTATCAGTGGCCAGCCTCCGCAAAAATCATGCCATTCCGTTTGTCGACAGCAAACACTGTGCTCATTATATGTATGTATTTCACAATTGCATTAGCTTACTGCACGTTTTTAATGCATTTTCGGGACTGGTAATTGCGCAAGATTATATTAGTTTGCTAATAGGTCGACTTTTGACTGTGAAATCATAAATGCAGTGGGAAATACTTTGACCTGGATCTTGTTTTCATTTGCAGCATCCTGTATATGCTGCACATTTGCAAGTGGTGGGCATTCAGAGAGTTGTCATGAGATATGACTTATCATGGGCGAATCCTCCAGACTGAGACAACGCACAAAGTCCTCTGAGATTCCAGAAAATTACTCCAGTCGCCATCGTCCCACAAATCACAGTTCTGAAGCTCGCCTACGGAGAGCCACAAGTTGCGGACGAAGGTAAATGAGGGAATTTTCTATGTGGACTTTTGTGATGAGAAAATGTTATGTGGCACGAAACACGAGAAAATTTCCTGACATGGACTTTCTTAATGAACTGACATTAGCAGAGTTATTAACGATTTACCGTGCGTTGGTTTTACCCATCAGCGCGCTCCCTCGATAACGTCTTCCCTCCTCAATCCATACCATTTGGCTTATGATTCAACTGTCAGACACGGACTTATGATAAATTCATCACAATTTGCAACTTTGCCGTACTCCTAAGCACTCAAATGCTTTATTTCACATGCACCGCTCTTTGGGAGTTACAATTCACATGAACGAACTTAGACCATATAGGGAAAAGACGCATATATAGTCACAATATAATTTCTCTAAAGTCCATCTTCTCCATTTTGTACAATTTTCCTCACCTCTTTGCGTTTTATCATTTAGCAAAAACTTTGGATATTCCTCAGAAGGAAGAATTTAGACAGCAGTAAATTCGCCACATCAGTGCAAATTATTCATTACGAGTGGAAATACGGGAAATTGAGAGAAAACTCATGAATTTTGGGATGATGAATTTCAATTATACCACAAACTCAACAACATCCCCTGTGTGCCAACATAAATATGTTAAGGTTCAGTGGATAGGATTGCTGAAAAATTAATAAGGGGACCATTTCACATTGAAAATTCATCGACGTGCGGAATTATTTAAAAGAGTTTCGTGAAAATTACTTCACAGTTTAGGGAAATATTGCACTGGGAGTAGTAATTTTTTCATCACCATGATATTCTTATTCTTGCAAAGCTTAGCTTTCGTGCATCGCATAGAAAGGGGCAGATGCTATGTCTGAATTCCTGGAGCTTTATCTAAAGTGGGCGAAATCCATGAATGTGGGGTTGCGCCACCCCTTGTCAGTGAAGCATGCAAGTGGCTTGAATTACGCTCAGCGCCCACCCTCTCGCTCTCCACCTCTTCCGGGGGGAGTTTTGAGTGACGGCTAGAATTTCCTGAATGAGTCACTTATACCTGGCCATGAAGGTAAATTTACTCAAAGAAAATATGTACATATCTCTGTCTGTCGGTGAGACGGCAAGAGAAAATTTCATTTCTATTTGACACAATATCGTATCAACTTCTGACACCGACAATCTCATATTGTTTAGCCCAAAAGTGTGGGTAAATATGTGAACACAGAGAGAGTTGAATTTCCACCCCGTTTGACAATTTTTTTTATTGAATTATATTTTCATTGTAGTTTAATGGATGGAGTATTTTTCCACCATATACTTTTAATGAAACATTTTTATACGTTCCATGAAAAATTAACTCAATATTTAAACTCGCTTGCGTAATTTGTGCAAGTTAATTAATTTATTCCACAAAAAAAAATCAAAATGACTTATGGTTTTTTTTCAGCATTGCGCGAAAAAAAATGTTCCAATGAATTCTTTTTCAACATTGCTGATTATAATTATATTATAATTTATCACTGTGTTCATTTGCAATATGGCGAATGTGCTTTTCAGCGAACAAGCGAAAAGAAATCTCCCGTATCTAAAAATACACTAAAACTGCTTTCGCTTATATTTGCAATTCTGCGAATTTTTTAGGACACTCTTCCCCACACCATCAAG